TATATATATATATACGTGACCGTATTTTGTTCTAAACTTTTTTTAGTCAATCGGAATGGCAATTCTTTTCGTGGTTCTTATAGTTATCCACGACTGCCGACGATAGCATTATTTTTCATACCACGATTTAATTGTGATAGAGTTGCACCGAGAACTGCTTAGGACAACTGACCAACTGCGAAACACTTTGTCCGGGAGCCGCGCTCATCACAGTTACTACGGAACCGGAAATGACATGTGGTGGACCCAACCTTCATTATACGGTCTATAACGTTAGTGAGTATCTTACAATGTGGGCCGATCACATGTCTACATGAGCATCAATGACGACTGGTTGATGGCTTGAAAATTATCATTTTATATCACCATCATCATTATCATCGTCGTCGCTGTCGTGGTCGTCGCCATCGTCATCGCCATCGTCACCGTTATCGGCATCATAATCATCTTCCTCCTCCTCCACCTCCTCCTCGTTATCCTTCTCTTGCTGCTCCTTCTCCTTCTCCTCCTCTTCATCTTCCTCCTCCTCGTCACCATCGTCGCCATCATCATTATCATCATCATCATCATCATCATCATCATCATCATCATCGTCATCATTATGTGCGCGTGCGTGCGTGCGTGTATGCGCGTGCGTGTGTGCGTGTATGCGCGTGCGTGCGTGCGTGTATGCGCGTGTATGCGCGTGTATATAATGCAAATCGATATAGTATTATACGAGAATTATCCTATTTTGTCTCTAGGCAGGTTCTCTGAATTTGCGACATGTGATGCCTTGACGACAGGAGGCGTGACAGTGTCCGGGATATATTCGATTGACCAATTTAGAACTTTCTGCGGTATGTACTGTTAATGATATTAATGATCAAGTATATATGTTAGAGACATTTTAATTCCTACAAAGTTTTATCATTCAGGTTACTTGCATATTATACGATGGTTTGGCAACAAATTCGATATTAGTTTCCATGTGAACTTTCTCGTGACGTATGAAACGTCAGCTAAAGCTCTCTGCTGAACCAACCACGGGCTTGCTAATAAGCTATTGATGTATTTCTGACAGCTTTAACAATATTATGTTTATTGATTTGGGTGGTACATATGCTGTTTCCGTCCCGGCCATGTACATGTCTTAATCTATGTTATTTATTGTTTGATTTTGTGTACGTTGTTCATTGTGTTTATTTTTTATGTCAGCTTTATCGGGCATTCAGAGAAGTCTTCAGCATTGCTAGGAGGACTCTCACATTTACTAATATAGCTTTGGAAACCTGTGTTTATAATTAGGAGAGTGTCCTAGCCCATGGGGTGCAACACTATTACTTCATCCCTGCCCGCCCTTCCCCTTGTCTCTCTTGTCGCACGCTCAGCCTCCTTCTTCTTCCACCGCCCCTCAGCTATCTTCCCTGCCACCTTCCCTCAGTCTCCCATCCTTCTCTCCTTTAGCAAGCTATATTATGTACTTTTATTTAAGCCGTACTGCACGTCTGAAACGGTGGTGGCGCATACGCAATCTCCTGAGAAGAAGAAAAAAATTCTGCTAAACATTCTCAATTTGAAATTGAAGAGGAATCATCCTAGCATAGATATATAGGATAAAATTCAATCAGTAGACCTCACTTATGAAATAGGAAGCAGACATTACATGTAAGGTCCTGGCTGCATATACCAGTCAGTGCATAATCTGGCTAAGTTTCTGTTTTAGCGCATGCGCTATATCTCACCAGAGAAGTTATATTTTGTGCTGAAAATGCATTTAATATGATCAGGGGGTATCTCAGCATAGGTTTCTGTAATAAATTCTTATCGGTAGACCTGTTTTTATAATTAGGAGAGCGCCCTAACCAGTAGGGTGCAAAACCACTACTTCATCTTCGCCCGCCCTTCCCCTTTGTCTCCCTTGTCGCACGCTCAGCCTCATTCTTCTTCCACCGCCCCTCGGCTGTCTTCCCTGCCACCTTCCCTCAGTCTCCCACCCCTCTCTCCCGCAGCAAGCTATTTTACGTACTTTTATTTAGGCCGTACTGCACGGCTAAAATGATACTCGCGCATGCGCAATATCTCCCAAGAGGAAGAATATTTTGCCAAAATTATAAATTTAAAATGGGGAGGGGTTATCCCAGCATAGATTTCTATAATAATATTTCATCATTAGACCTCACTTATGAAAATGGAAGCAGGCATTGCATGTAATGTCCCGGCTGCATATACCAGTCATTACACAATCTGGCCACGGTACTGTTTTAGCGCGTGCGCAATATCTCACCAGAGAGGTTACATTTTGTGATGAAAATGCGTTTAACATGGTCAGGGGGTATCTCAGCATAGATTTATGTAATAAATTGTTATCAGTAGACCTATGTTTATAATTAGGAGAGCGCCCTAGCCAGTAGGGTGCAAAACCACTACTTCATCCCCGATCGCCCTTCCCCTTGTCTCCCTTGTCGCACGCTCAGCCTCCTTCTTCTTCCACCGCCCCTCGGCTGTCTTCCCTGTCGCCTTCCCTCCGTCTCCCACCCCTCTCTCCATCAGCAAGCTATATTACGTACTTTTATTTAGGCCGTACTGCGCGTCTGAAACGGTGATCGCGCTTGCGCAATATATGTCACGAGAAGAATATTTTGCAAAGATTAGGCATTATGAAAACTCCGCTTTGCTATACCTCATATTTATATATACCTCATAATTATATACCTCATAATTATACCTCATAATTATATGATATAC